CTTTTTGAGGAGAGAGAGAGAAAATGTAAATTCTTGTCCATTTATGCCTCTCTCCCTGCTTTTACCTCCTTTTTGTCATGTTTTGCCAGTTATCTCTTTTGATGTTTGCTGATGTTTAATGAATAAACATTAAGCTATATTTTTGCTAGCCGTACTGGCGTGTGTGCTTGCCCTGATATGCATATAGGGTATGCTGGGTACAAACTGGAAATTATGGTAATTTGCCAATAATAGAAAAGCTCCACTTCTACCTAGACTACATGTTGATGCAGTTGCCGACACTTGTGCTATCTGGGAATTATGGAAGTAGGTGCCCCAATACATTGTGGAAAGGACCAGGTTGGGACAAATTTCTCTTGAATGACTATTGTTGTAATCATGTTTGAAAAGTTCACTCAGAGCGAGATAAGAAAAGAAGAAAAATCCAGAAAATGTTGAAGCAGAAGAAATCTGTCATTTATTCAGAATACTAATCGCTGGAATTCAAAATGGAGACACAGAACTCCATTTATCAGTAGAGAAAGGGGTGCCACTAAGCCAGCTCCTGCTCCAGCACGCCCTGCATCTCCAGTAGGCCCCTTGGGCCTTCTCAGAGGCATGCTTCAGTGGGAAGGAAGCTGGAAAAGCCAGCTGCATGTACCAACATTGAACAGAGTCTTGGGGAACCCACCAGTATTTTGAACAGTATTCAGCAGGTGGCTGTGAGATTTTCACAGGCGCACTCCAGAGCATTCTTTAGTGGGATAAGTATTGTTTTTTTCTTGTGTTTGAGGTGCTGAGAAGATGGGACATATTCATGCAACATGGGGGTAATCTTGAGAGAAAATAGGCATAGTAAATTAGTTGTGGAAAAGGGTCCTCAAGTAAGAGGCAACCTAGCATTTTATTTTAACTGATGGGCATTTTTTTCATGCTGTGTTTCAGAGCCACAGACAGCCAGCATTGAGGAGATACAGGAGATGAAAAATTTTGGGAAGCTCTTGAAGAAGCAAGAGAAGGAACTGAAGGAGCTGGAGCGGAAGATGACAAAGCGCAAGGAAGAATTACTACAAAAATATGCTGCTTTTTTCACTGAGGTGGTTTGCCAGCCTGGCAGAAAAGAAATGTTGTGCCCATCAAAAGCTCCACGAAGGAAAAGGTAGATCTTGGATCAGAAACAGGAAAGCAAGGAATTTCTTACTGGCAATCAGAACAAAACTGTTCTTTATTACATTACAACCTTGTCTTTCTGCCATCTTGGTGACATAACATGGGGCTCCTTTGTGGTTCCCCATCCAGACCTTGACCAAATTTGACTCTGCTTAACTTCAGTATGTTGAATGAGTTATGAACAACTAGGCTCAAGAGGGGGCATACCACTTAGTTTTGTTTTCACCATGCCTGCCTCTGGGTATATGCTCAGTCAAGCAAGAGAGACGGAGGAATGTCCCACCTTCCTGGCTTGGAGCTCTTCAAGCAATAGTCCTGAATTTCTTGCTAGTATTGAAAAACTGGATAGCTCCACCTATTGATTGTATCCTATCTGCAGCCTCTATAATAGGCTACAATCTAGGGCAGTGTTTCTTGGTCTCAGCAACTTAAAGGTGTGTGGACCTCAGCTCCCAGAATCTTAAGGTTGCTGAGATGGAGAAACACTAATCTAGGGAAAGGAAAAACATTGCTTCCCCCCAGAAAAATAGATACAGATAAGAGTCTTTTACTGTACATACATGCACTTTCTATGTTCCCTAATTCCCTAATCATTAACTGTTTCCTTTTCCACTCTGGGGGAAAAAACATTTGGATGGCTACTTAAAAGGCAAACAAATTTCTGTGTTCCCAAAAAAAGGTACTTTCTCATGTTTAAATGGCAGTGCTGGATGCATTTCTTGAAGCGTAATATTCATATCACAAACATCCAGTATATGAAAGGTCACTATCCAAACATAGGGATGTTATGCTCTTCCAGTGCAGAGATTTTTTAGAAATTGGAATGTGGGGCTATATGTGTTAATACTGTGTTACTTTATTACTCTTAGGGCTAGAAAAAGATGTGGGAAGCAGCCCTTTAACCATCTAGTTTATTTATTTATTTGATTTCTATAGCCGCCCATCTCAACAAGTGACTCTAGTTTATTCCCAGTGCTGTTCAAACATGCCATACAAGTATGCTATGAACTAGAAGGAGAACAGGCATCATACAGGTCCAGGCACCAAAGAAAATTCAATGAAAATATATATCTTTACTTTCTGAAATGGCAAGATCAGAAGCAAGAAATCTCAGAGTGTTTTGAGGAAATGCTTTTCCCTGAGAGAAAAGTAAGAGGTTGACTCCACTTTAGCTGAGTTTAAATAGATTGCGATTGTTTTGTCCTTTTGTTAAACAGTGCCCGTCTACTGAGGAAGCAGATCAGTAAACTATAGAGTATTACTGATGACTCTTCCATTTACTGATCTGCTGAAAGGGTAACTATAATATCGTGACAATATGCCAGGTGAAAAGGGGAGCAGTCAGGGACTGGCCACCTCTGCCTTAGACTGAGAATTGTTGCTGTCTCTGAAGTTGCAGGTTACTTTTGGATGAAAGCAGCACGAAAGGAAATGCCACAGAGATGACAGAGAATGCTGACAATAAAATGACAGAGCTAAAGGAGAAGTTGGAAGAAGAATTACTCCAGCTGGGAGAAGAGCAATATGATGCAATCTGGAAGAAGAAAGATCAGCATGCCACAGAGGTATAGCAACCATATGTATATTAACATTCCTTTATTTAATTACTTAGTTACCAAACAGCACTAGTGGAAATCTGACACATTTCATTAAGGCTGCATTATATACATGCTAAACTTGTCAGATAGCTTTAAACCCAACCCCAGATCTGCTATGTGAATTTGCATTATTGTTTTGGGGGGGAAAAGTCATACAGTATGTGAACGTGGCTTCCTTATATGATCAGAATGATACTTCATCATACTTCTGGTGCACTCAAGTAAGTTGGTTATTCAGAACTGACCATTCCCTGGCAATTCTCAAGGAAGTTTATCATTTGAGAATGACAAGTAGGAGACCTCATCTGTTGCCCTCTTCTGCAAATTTGTATAAAATACAAGTCAGCTCACCCCAGTACACAAGACTGTATGTTACAAACACAGCTTTGGAAACATCTGGAGTAATCGGATTAATTCCTTGCTGTGTAGTTCCTAAGGTAGGAAAGTGGCATGAGTGCTTTGTGGGTGAATGGCTGCCAGCCTTGTGAGGTAGTCCAGACAAGAAGCACACCCAGGAGTACTAGCAGTATCTTTACTGTAAGGTTACATTAACAGAATCTTGCAAGTCTGAGAGCAGCCCTCCCGTCCTTCACTTTATTCTCCTGAAAACTAGGGAGGGTCCCTTCTGCGATGTTTTCGCCACCCCTGGAACAGTGTGGGAAGTGGTACAAAACACTTCAAGGGGAAGGAAGGATCAATGCTCCCTTCCTCCTGTAGGAGCCTCCACTGAATCTGAGTCCCTTCTGTGGAATGGATCATCCTAGGTCCAACTCAGGATAATGTTAAAAAAAAGAAAAGAAAAAGAAAAGAAAATCCTTACCTTGTGCTTTTTGTTTAAACAGAAAGTTGCTAAAATGTTGCAACTTGCAAGAGAGAAGCAAGCATCTGAGCTGAAGGCATTAAAGGAGACTTGGGAAAGGTAAATAACAAAGGATGGCTGGTGTGGGTCTTCCGGGCTGTGTGGCCGTGGTCTTGAAGTTTTGTTTCC